TTGCTTCAAAAAAAAAAAAAAAAAAAAAAAAAAAAATCAGCATAAAGAAAATAATGAAGCCAAACATTTGCTACAACTTGAATATGAATAAATGGTAACACTGGAACCTATCTATTCCCTTTAGACTGAACCATTGCTCTCAAGTGTCTGATTATGTATACCTCACGAATTGTCTCTGCAATTATACTTATTGTAGCAGTATCTAAGAATTCTTCAAGCCTCAGGTCTAGGATATGTTTTATTAGTTTCTGTTACCACAGACCAAATCCAACAAGCAGCTCAATACCACTCTAGACAAAGAACAGAGGGACTAGGATTGGTGGTTCTCAGGCCTTTTTAGAGTCACCCCATCAGTAGACTGAATACACCCAATGGAAAATAGCAGCTTTTAACTTTCACTTGTTACTTGACTGGAGAAAAATAAGAGCAATTCTTCTGTTGCAAATAACACAGCAGGTTCCAGGTTTGACCCTACGGATTCCAATTAGAAATCTCTGGGTATGAATCATGCATAGGTATTTGCACCCCTAGTAGTGCTAATATTATGCAGCATTCTTAAAACCACTACCTCAAAAGCCTCATCGCCCTGGTTGAAAAAAATCACTGAGCTAAATGCACAGAAGAACTCAGGGGCCTAAATCCAGCCACTTCAAGGACTACATCCAAAATTACACTCCTCAGAATGCATGATCAGCTCCTTCCTTCCCATGAAGGCCTGAGCTCTGTAGGTGCCTCACATTTCAATATACATGTGGCTCCAAGCATTTCAAGTTGTTTATGGACACATCCATAACTTCTACCAGACACTGCTGGAAATAACTCTCACGCTGTTTATTCCCTAATACAATGGAACCCTCAGTCATCTCAGGCCTTCAGATATTACTTTACTATACTTTAATACAAACTTTACTGTTAATACAAACAAAACTCTGAGAAATCTTGACATAAAAAAGCAGAATCTTGGTTTGTTAAAAAGCTGTTATAACACAATACCTCTTTAAGTGACAGAATCCATAATCATGTTCTGTAAGAAACATCATTGTCCTGATACATGTCAGCAAACAATTATAACTGCTCTCAGAATTAGCTAAGGTTTCCATCAGACAGTCACAAATTGAAGACATCAGTTCCTTGCTTGGTAAGGAATTGGAGAGCTGTTCTAGTTCAGAAACAGATCCCTCTGATGAGCTTGGTAAAATCAGCGCAATGTCCTGTGAAAAGAAAACTTAACTGTTATATCCATCACACACAAGAGTGATAAACACTGACAACATATTGAGAAGATCACTTTCATTAGGAAAACTTTTGTATTTTCTTACTACCTACTTATAAAAAACCTGAAAATACCATGTATGTCTAAAGGCATTCAAATTGAAAGTAAATCTTTGTATTAGTTCAATTATTTCAATCAGTTCTGAAGCTGTCAAAATAGCACTTTAAGTATGTCTACACTGCAGTGGCAGCACGAACCTGAGGACACACTGTCTCTTGCTCTAGCTTGCATGCTTTAAAACCAGAAACACGCCAGCAAGACCACCTTGCGGACATCAATTTGCGGATGCTCTTGAGACTTCAGTCTCTGGTGCCTGACAGCAACTGCCAAGGATGACCCTGGAGCATGATCACCCATATATTTCCAGGTTGCAGATAGCAACCAAGAGCAGATAGAGTGTTTTACCACTGACCCATCCATGTTCCCAAATATTAATGTGAACAAGTCACCCTCTTCAGCTGAGAGGATTATTCACTCTCCAATATCCATTCAATTCTAGGTGGCATCTCTAATGATCAAAAAAGGATGAAAGTGGAAAAATGTTTTTCTTATATAATTATGGACACCTACTCGCTAGGAAAAAAACTAAGGACAAATTCATTTCAAAGAAGCCTAGAGTCACCAATGTAAAATTTCATTGGGTGGCATGGTTCTAATCCTCTCTTTTCCAGAATATTAACAAATATATATATATTTTTTTTTTTTGGGG